AATAACAGGGAAAGGGATTCATCTCCTCTTCTGCAGACTGATTTTAACTACAGTAAACGACAACAAACCGCCCTTGAAAATAAGAACAAAACAATCTATTTTTACACTCTTTAAATCTACAAACCCAACACTGCGATCTATATTATATCTCCTTCCAGACTTGCCAAAACACACAGCAATGGTCCGTTAGCGAAAAGAAAAATGCTTATCTTGAAGCATCTGTTCTGTTCATTATCTTCTGTTTCTAATAATAAGAGAAGACCAGTACTTCGAGATTTTTTTTAAAATAAAATAGGAAATCCATACAAGCCCAAACATTTAGAGAGGATGTGGTAGGTATCGGTCATCCTGAGCTCCACATGCCATTGTTATGATGCTTCTGGTCTTGTATGGTAACTTATTCAACTAGATCAACAGCATGGGATCTTTCTGTAGTTAGTCCTGTGTGTGTTCCTCTCCCCAGTTTCAGTAGGAAGGCTGTACCTCATTGCTAAGTGCTCTGTAATAGATCTCTTGGTGATTCTAACTTCGTAAAGAAGCAAAACCTGCAGAAGGTTTAACCTGCTGAAACTAACTTGATGCTCTCTTTAGCAATGACGTCTATATTTGTAGATCACATATATGCCTGTTTAAATACAATATCTTGACATGTGTTATATTTATGTTATATATTAAATGTTGTGCTGGGTTTATACTTTTTGGTTTAACCCACTTGTTTCTTTAACTTTTTTTTTTTTTGTTTTCCTTTGGAGGCACAACCGGTGGCTTTATGCACAGGCATGGAAATGTAAGGTGTTTATTTTTTATTTTTTCTCAGTTCGTACTGTAAAGGCCCAATCTGTTTCAGTTTCTGACCGGTTTTTGTTTCTGGCTGCTTGGCATCCTGCAGACACCTGCCCCGAATCTCTGTTGTGTTTTCTTGTGCCTCTTTATATATATTTTTTTCTAACTTTGTGTTCAATCATTCTTTTTCTCGTGTATCAGCCGGGTGTTGGTACTGCAGCTCTGCTTGTAACCACGTTAGTCTGATTATGTTTATTGATTTTAATATCAAAACAATAAAAAAAACATTAGCACCCCACTCTGACTCCTGTTTTATTCTCTGTGACTCTGTTCTTACCCATCTTATATAAACTCTGTAGTTTTCAATGTTTTACAAGTATGTGAAACAGGTCTTTTTAATATATATACTGCATTGAAAATGTGTTGAAATTGAGCCCAGGAGATTCATAAGTGGCACCATCATGTGGGGAAACTCTTCATGTTTAGCCCTTTAGAGCTACGACTCTGGATCAGATAGGTGGTTCATTCCCAAGCCTCTGCAGAGCTGCTGACCTGATGATGATGATGGAGGAATTGGAAATTTGCAGCAGAGTAGAGACCCCTGGGGTGACACAAGATGGTTTTCACAAAGATAATAAAGAAATTACTGTGAAAAAAGTAGATGCACTTCAAAAATGATCTAGAAATAAGACAATATTTCTTAAATTAAGTGTATTTACTCTTAATAGATAGTAGATAAATAAGATGATTTGCCAATTTAATGAGTATTTTTACTCATAAAATAAGATAATTAGATAATGTGCACTTGAAATAAGACAATACATTTGTTTTTTTTCTTATTTTAAATGTAAATTGTCTTGTTCCATTGGCAAAGTGTCTCACTTACCTCCTCAATTTAAAAACAAATGCACTTATTTTAAGAAAAATTACTTATTTAGATTTAAAAAAAATGTTTCCAGTGATCAAATATTAATTTTATTATTTTAAATTAATATTTCTACAGTGACATCCTAAAAAGCATGAATGAATAATCAAAAATACACAAAATATAATTAACTTCACTTTATAGGTATAAATAGAATAAATGCAATGATGCATTTTTAGAGGGTTGCCAGTTTGTTGCATTGTAAATTTTAGGGGTAACAGTTTGAAGTGTCGGCGAACTCTGCTCTAGAGGAGCTACACAGTCTAGCTTATGTTCAAAATCAGCCAGTAGTTTTGTCCTACTTTAATAAATGTGGCTTTTATAGAACAGCAGCAGCAAAGCGATTATTGTGAGAAAATTGTACATGAACCCATTAGCAGTTTGCTACGCAACTCATAGGGATACAGCAAACCTGGGATAATTGCTGTGATCAGCTTGACCAAATGGATCAACGTAGATACAAAATGTGTTCTGCAAAGTTTTACAACAACCTTTTAGCTGGACCAGAAAGACTTTGAAGATGAATGGAGCAAAGTTTCGCCTTCCAGCAGCGTTACTACCCTGAACATGCAGCCAGAAACAAGGGAATATTCTCCAAAGAATGAATTCATGGAAGCTAAATACCAATCAATATTCACCACACTATTCAGATTAGTAAAAAAAAAAAAATAAATCACTCTGTCCCACATCAAACTGTAGCTTGAGCCGTGAACAAAGTTTTAACCGACTGGAAGCCGAATTAATCCCTTTACATGAGAAATTTATTTATTCTTATAAATATACAAGATTATAGAAAGCAGTTATTTTCAGCAGAAACATCCATTCATCCATCTTCTTCCACTTATCCGGGGTCGGGTCGTGGGGGTAGCAGCTTCAGTAGAGAGGCCCAGACGTCCCTCTCCCCAGGCGCTCCCAGGCCAGCTGAGAAACGTAGTGCCTCCAGCGTGTCCTGGGTCTTCCCCTGGGCCTCCACCTGGTGGGACGTGCCCGGAACACCTCACCAGGGAGACATCCCGGAGGCATCCTAATCAGATGCCCGAGCCACCTCCACTGGCTCCTCTCGATGTGGAGGAGCAGTGGCTCTACTCTGAGTCCTCTCCAGATGACTGAGCTCCTCACCCTATCTCTAAGGGAGAGCCCAGACATACTACGGAGAAAACTAATTTCAGCCGCTTGTATCCGGGATCTCATTCTTTCGGTCATGACCCAAAGCTCATGACCATAGATGAGGGTAGGAACGTAGATCGACCGGTAAATCGAGAGAGAGCTGAGCTAAAAAAGCAAAGATCTCAGCAAGAACAGAACTGTTAAAATAAGCTGGACTACTTAGTGGATATAAGTGTAGATATGAAAGATTTTCTTGAAACTCTGACATGTTAGACATTTTTCAAAGCAAATTTATCTTTTTTTTTAAATATTTATATTTAATATTAATTTTCATTTAATATTTATTTATATTTCAGGTGTTTATAATGTTTAATTGGGGATGATTTATTTCTACCTAATTGATTTGGTGTATTTTGCTTCATACAATCTGATTTCTGACTGTTTTTTAAGATAATAGACTTTGGATGTAGACTGCACAGCCTTTAAATCTTTTCTAAGCTTTACACACAAATTTAACTAAGTGAACAATCCTGACAGAGTACACATGTTCATGTTTCCTGCTACAAAATGTTATCACCCACTGCTTCCCTTTTAAAATGTGTGCAACCAACATCCTCCCAACTTTAGACCATACCATGAAAACTGGATATAAATATTGGCGGTGGTTTAGTTCCTCAATAAAGTTGTTGCAACATCAAAAAATAAAATAAAATAAACAGTTTTAAAACATAGAATAATTGTTTCACATTTTTTACTTTAAAGAATCTTTTTTTAAATGTAAGATAGTCAAACTAAGTTTGATAAGTCTATTTTAGAATAGGAAATATAAAATATAAGTATTGAGTTTTATCAATGGCCAATGTTCAGGCACTTTAAATAAAAAAGGAAACAGAACTAGATCAGCACTACTGGACTTTCTGGTATCCAGTGTTTTTTTTTTTTTTTGTTGGTTTCATAAACATGGAGGAACTCCAGTTTAAAGATTCTCGTCTTTTGACCAAAGATAACTGTGGAAGAAAATGCATTCCCTCCTCTCCAATATGATTTAGCGGTGCAAGAAGCAATGTCCCGGCAATTCAGACACGCAGTAAAAGTAATATAATCATTAACTATTCGCACACTTTCTTACATTAAAGCAATAAACAGTATCAAACAGTAAATTAGTTGGTCAATTTGAAAATAAACTTACATGCTTCTTTTATGTACACATTTTTCTCATAATGGCGCCTAGGTGGAAGTTCCACTGAAGAAACTCATTGCTTTTCATACATCCACCTGTGACACAGTCAATCAGCTTTGAACCACCCCTCCACGAAGGCCAATCGGCATCCAAAGTTCATCTTAAAAGGCCTTGATACGCACCTGTCTGTTCCTGTGCGCAGGCGGCGGATGCGCTGTGTGACTTCATTCAGATGACACCGTTTCAACCCACCTCCAGCTCCTCCTCCACCATCGTAGCTAAAGCTTCATCAGAGTGTCATTCCTCCCGGACTCTTACTGCGTTTTCTGTCTCATCTTAACTGGCCCGACAGAAGACCGCCATGTTGAGCCTTGTTCTGCCAGAGGTTTCTTCCCAAGAGGGAGTTTTTCCTCTCCACTGTCGCTCCATGCTTGCTCATCATGGACAGGTTCTCCCAACCTGTGTTATCCAAACTGGACTTCCATCTTCCAGGTCCCTGAGTGAAGCTCTAGTATCAGCTCATGCAGTCCACTGGATCTGGTCTCTTTATCCAGCAGTCTACAGACTGACCAACTTCATCTATCTCCACTTCACCACCAGTTTCAGGCCTGGAGGGGAAACAGCCCTGTTCTTATGCTCCTGTTCATGCATATCTATTAAAATTAAGCACTATGTTTCCTGCAAGTAATTGTATCAATAAATTTCTCCTAATTGTCTTTTCTCTTTGTGTCAATGACCTGGGTGACTGAGAATCTTCACCAGCATTTATCAACAAAGCATTCTTTTTATTATTGTTTTTTTTTTTTTTTCTTTTTTTGCAATTTTTACAGTATTTTTTATTATTATTATTATTATTATTGTGGTAATATAATGTGACAGCCATGGTTTGAACTATGCAGCTAAAATCAGTAAACTACACAAGAAGAAATCAAATGTCTCAGCCAATAACCTCTTCGCCTAAAGCAAACCCGTTCATTTTAAGCCCTACGGCTTGCCGTACCAAAACAGAAATGGCCTCTTCGGAGGATGTTAACGTCCGGATTTGCGCACAAGAAATTATAAAATATGACCTGGAGATTAAAGCTCTCATTCAGGTAAGACTTTATACGTATGAATCATTGTTTTGTTCACAAATATCTTGTGTTTCATGGGAGGAGTTGACGCTAAACTCACACAGACGCTCTAAAATGTCGAGAGAAAGTGATACTAAAGTTAGCTTAGCAACAGTTAGTTCGAATAACTTTATTTACAGTATATGTCTCTGAGATTTATATAGGTTTCTTAAAATGTAAAGCTGTTTGTATGTAGATATGAATTAAAATTGCGAGATATTAGCTCATTTGTCCTGTTTGAATTATGAAGAATAACGAATTAGTCTCGCGCTCTGAGTCAAAGCTGTCTGAGTAAAACATCTGCCTCCTATTTCTGTTTTCTACTCACAAGATAAAGTCTGCCTTTCTATGCAAATATCTACTGAAATATAAGAAAATATGGTAAAATTCTGCTGATTTTAAGGAAAAGACCAAAAAGTTAAGATATGTAATAAAGAAACATTGGTTGTCTTGGTATTTTTGCACAGTAACTTGTACGTTATTATAATCTCTTGGTTTAAAAACAAACTTAAACAAAACAAAATTTTTACTTATGCTTATATACTTATATTAGCCCTGTCCTTAAAGTCTGTGTTTGATCTGCAGGACATCATTGTCTGTCCTGGACCTCAGACAGCTCTCACAGAGCTTAACTCTCAGGTCAAGAACAAATTTAACAAGCTGAGACTCAGGATACAGGTAATGTCCTCTCCTCTCATACAAGATGTGTTGAAATATCTTACTTAAAAGATGAAAGTGTGTAACATGAAGCCATTTTTTCTTCCTGTTTTTGCTGCTGTCAGGATCTAGAGCAGATGGCTCAAGAGCAAGATACAGAGCTGGACAGGATGTCCATCCTCACAGAGATGGAGAGCCAGAGACGCCAAATGCTGAGGTGACTGTTCATCCATTTATGCTCTAAATCAGGGATCTACTACTGGGTTTAGCTGGGTTCAGTCCAGCTAACATTACTCATTTAGAGCCATAAACATTACATTAACTTCTTCTTCTTTTTTTTTTTTTTTTTTTTTTTTTTTAAAAAAAAAGGTAACCCATAATTTGCAGATAATTACCANTACTCATTTAGAGCCATAAACATTTCATTAATTTTTTCTTTTTTTTTTTTTTTTTTTTTTTTTTTTTTAAAGAAAAAGGTAACCCATAATTTGCAGATAATTACCAAAGGTTGCTGATATTTTTGGAAAACCTTGTTAACCCTTTATAGGGCAAGTAACTATTTTTGTTCACTTGCATACGTCTAGAAGTGCAAGATCTATATCCAGCCATTCAGCAAAGATCCTGCTACATGGTTATACATCTTATTTTTGTATTTGACCAATTAGATGAGCGCTTTAATTATATATTACCTACTGTAAATTACCTTGAAAAGTCAATAAAAAGCTGATTGAAAAGTTAAAAAGTAGAGTTAATAAGCCTAGTTAACAATTATATTTAGCTTTATAAACTAAAAAATATAACAAGTGCCAGTATCTGCATTAATGTGTCTAAGGTTATGTTGTGCCAAAAAAAATTTTTTCTTTCACTCTCAGTGAAAGAAGTGTTTTTCATAAATTTCTTATAGAAGCACTTTTGTTATTTTTCGTAATATATTCGGGCGAGTTGGCGTTTTTTGTTATTACATTGACATATATTTTTACCATCAGAATACCCATATTTTTTTAATGTTACAAAGAAAATAAGTTCTTGTCCTGGATTCAAATAACACTATTGGCTGTGCCTTATAAAGGGTTAAAATTTTTTTAAAGAATATCAAAAATATATATTCTGATAAAATTAAGGGTCAATTTATTATGTGAGTAGGAAAAAAATATGTCAGTCCAGTTAACTTGTAAAGAGAATTACGTGACTTT